ACTTGGTCAACAGTTCTCCACGCATTTGCCTCTTCTCCAATCCATGCTGGGATATGCCAGGAGTCCGGTTGGAAACCTCAGGGACACATAAAACTCACTAGGCCTGCTGCTTCACAAGTCCCACTGACTAAGCCGTCAGTCTGCCCAGTCTGGCCTCCACTGATCCATCCTAATGACCTCTGTGGCAGTCTCTAGCCTCAACTCTGCCAACCCACCCTCCACTCTGCTCCCCGAGTAGCACTGGGCGAGGCATCTAAAGACACCACCTCAAAAATCTCACAGCATTTTATGCTCACAGGGGTTACAGATGTGTCCTACATCACAGGGGTGAAAGCCACTGGCCAGGACTTAAAGTTCATATTCTTTTCACCATATAGCTCAGTCTAAAGTGAAAATCCAGGACACTTAGGCCAGTCAGGGCATTTACTATTCACCACCACTCCCTTCTTGAAACGTTCTCTTCCTTAGGCTTCAGAGGTTAAAACCGCCCTGGTTTTCCTCCCACTTCTCTGGCCTCTCCCTTAAATGAACTATACTCCCAAGGCCCTTCATCCACTTCCAGGGGTTCATTTCCACCCTCCCCTCCACACGCTCAGCCTCTCACTGGAGCTCCAGACTCACACAGCCACTTACTCAGATGTCCCACAGCCACCTCAGATGACGTTTCCAAACCTGAACTCATCTTTCTCCCATACCTCCAACCAGCTCCTCCTCCAAGGTGCCCTGTCCCAGTGAATGCCCTGCCCTTTCTCTATTTTTCTCAGCCAGAAACCTGAGCACCATCCTTGGACTTGGCCTCTCCACACTTGTTCACTCTACCTCCTAAACAGCTCTCAAATCCACCTACCTATTCCAGCGAAGGGCCCTGTCATCTCTTGCCTTGGTGACGGCTACCACTTCTTCACCCATTTGTCACCTCTATGACCCCTCTAATCCACTCTTTACCCTGCAGCCAGAGGCATCTTTTATGTTATTATTTATTTATTTAGACACAAGGTCTTGCTCTGATACCCAGGCTGGAGTGCAGTGGCAAAATCATGGCTCACTGCAACCGTGACCTCTCGGGGGCTTAGGCAATCCTCCCACCTCAGCCTCACGAGTAGCTGGGACTACAGGTGTGTGTCACCATGCTCAGCTAATTTTTTGTAGAGATGGGGTTTTGCTATGTTGCACTGGCTGGTCTCAAACTGGACTCAAGCAATCTACCCACCTCTGCCTCCCAAAGTGCTAGCATTACAGGCGTGAGCCAGCGTGCTCAGCCTGAGTCATCTTTTAAAACTGCAAATTTAGCCAGGCGCGGTGGCTCACGCCTGTAATCCCAGCACTTTGGGAGGCCGAGGCGGGTGGATCACGAGGTCAAGAGATCGAGACCAT